TAAACAATGGCCGGTTGTAAAGAGCGTCTGGTTAGGCCGTCTTGGTCTGCGTGCGTGGCGAACTCACCAGCAACATTACGGAATGGCGGCTCTGGTGCTCAATGTGGTGATTGCAACAAGGACACACGGTCATGGCCATGTTTCGACACATGTTCGGTGGCTGTATAATCTAATAAGAGTCGCTAACGCCGCCGCCGTGTTTGATGGCTTCGTTTTGGGGCCATCAACAAGAGCCGTTTCGCCAATCGCAGAGTGGCTTGGTGGTTTCCTGGTTACTTGCTCTTGGAGATCTGGTGCTATCGCAGAGAGGGACGAGCGAACACACAGTCAAGCAGGCGTGCTTATCATCTTGTTGCATCGTAGTGGGGAGGTCCGAGCTCCAAGGTTTTTTTTGACCGGTTTCCAGAAAGAATGGTCCTGGAAGTAAAGCCTGGGTGAGTCGGGTCCCCAACCACCATTATAGCTTGTAAGAGTTGTTCGCATCGTCCTGCACTTGTCGAGTTCTCCTCGCAAAACTTGGTTGATGCATAGGAGCCTTTTCCTGGCAACCTACTTCGCTGACCTTGACAACTTGGAAAGAGTTCATGAACCCGGCCAGATGATCACTGTGCTGCTGGAGCTGAGTGAACGCAAGGCCCAGAAGTTGTTGCCAGCGGCGTGCGCTGGAATGACGGCCGCCGGTCGTTCACCACACATGTGAACACCAATCTGCCATAAGCGCCAACTCCAAGATGAACCCAGCCAAGCTGGTGGTGGTCACTGTGCAGCCAGCATTGGAAAGTTGGGGCAAAGTTTTCACACGTTTCCGAGATGGAGCAGGGCTGGCCAAGCTTGTTCCAGAATGGAGGGGGACGCATGGAGCAAAGCCATGCGTTGGCCATCTTGGGAGCATGCGGCGCGCTGGACACGATGACCAAGCTACTGCCGGCTCAAACACTGAGGATTTTCTGGAGCTGCGCCGGGTGACAGAGGTGCGCGCCAAACGGGCACCTTTGCTGACGCTTGCCAATTTGGCGCGGCGTGTGTCTGCGTTGCTAGGCGAGGATGTCCCGGCCGTAACGCTACAAGGCGCAGTCTGCAAGTTTATGCAAGTGCTCTCTCGCTTTGCTTGTGGCAAGACCTTTAGCCGAGCTCGAGAAGAAGATACTAGGCGCCCGCCCTAAGTCACATCAACTGTCCAAAAGTAACCTCACTGCATGGGCACGCTGGTTCCAACAAAGTCACATCAGCTTTGAAAAGCCACATCAAACATCACAATTCCCAATGGGCACGCGGTCTCAAAAGTAGTCTTTTGAAAGCCTCCAAGGGTTGAAAACTGTACTATTTTGCATGGAACACAATCATGTCTACATAGATCCTGCTTGAGCAAACCAAAGGTTCCCCATTGGGCACGCAACCGCACGCACACCCAAAATGCATCCAATGAACAGGCCTTGTTTTGTCTCGCTTCTCATGCCAGCCTTGGCTTGCACACATACCGCAAGCTGCGGTTGTGCTCCCAACACTTCAGCCAGCCTTCCCGAGTGCTCTTTTTCATGAGCACCCTGGTCGTAATGATCTCTTTTCGGACCAAAGACGAGAGCGGGCTGGCTTTGCTGCCCTTCTTTTGCAGATCTTGCACGTGGAGCTTGACGATCTTCTCTATAGCTTTGCGCTGGTGCGGCAGGCGCGGCCTTCCCCTCGCCGATCTTGTCCTCGTCGGCCTTCTTTCTCTTCCTCATCTCTCCAAGCACGTCCCCACAGAACTTCGAGATGTGCGCTTTTGCAGCCGGTTCCACGCCTGCAACCACAGCATTGACATCTGCCAGCGGTTGCTGGGTCTGAGTGTAGCCACCTGCGCGTGCACCGGCAGACACCACACTGCGGATCTCATTGTAAGACGAATTCGTCTTGCCGCACCAAGGACACTTTGGGTACGCAGTGGGGCGCATTCAGAGCACGTTGCCGTCTGCGGCGCTCGCCGGTAGCCGGTGGGGCCGACAGGTGCTTGGGAAGACGAAGAGCCGCTGCCGCTGTTCTGCTCCCCTTGAGCTCCTCAGCAAACACGAGCAGAAAAATCCAGTCAGGATGAGGGGGCCTAGCGAGGTCTGTAGCGAGGTTCAAGCGAGGTCCAGACCGTGTCACCAAATGTCATATCAAGACAACTGCCCACTTGTGCCAAAACAAGGCTTGGGAAGAATGCAATCCAGGAATGGAACTGCCAACAAAACTTTTGTCACTCAAAGGTCTGAGAAGCGCTTGGTAGGCGCAGCTCCAGAAGCGACAGTGATCTTGCGAGCCAGTCGCCCTCTCAGCTCCAGGTCCAAGTCGTTCGCAAGGTCGTATGGCACTTCCAACTCATCTAAGGCAACGATCAAATTGCCAAAGCTCAGACGTGCTATCTGGGAGCTCGTGTATCGTTTCGGTGGCATGGTGAAACCTAACGGCTAGCGGGTCAAAGTTGCATAGTTTGTCTGGCCCGCAAGCTTGCCAAAGACAAGGTTGTTGACCACATCACCCCACTGTCTCTTGCGAGGCGTCACTCCGCTGTAAGCCATGGCACGCCTGACTGCAGCGCTTGCTGCTTCTATAGATCTAGTGCAGGGCACGCTGAGCCGCTATACGAGGCAGTTGCATGGTGCACGCTGACAAGCGCATGCCAATCATCGAGTGGGTCCACAACAAAGATGCACCCAGAAACTGGGAATCCCCATGAGGCACGCTCATCAGATACGACTTTCGGGGTCCGATACGAGTTAGGGCGTGGACCTAGTAGCAACCAGAAGTGGCATGTGCCCAGTCTCGGCCGCAGGCTGCTGAGACTGATGCGCAAGTTTCAGCAGAGTAGCGAGACGGCCACCAAATGCTGCGGTGATGGAAAAGTGCATTGAGTGTCCGTACTACGAAAGTTCCTTCGAAACTTCCTTTGATTAATGCCAGGTGTTAGGCTGATTCACCCCGAACCCCCGGGCCTTCACTCTCGAACATGGCATTGACATGGAATTTTCTCCTCGAAGTCGATGAACAACATCGATGCTTTTACCCGGCGTCAAGGAGATGGATGGACCCGATGTGTCCTCTTCCCAAAAAAGGGGACTTCCTGCAGGGACATACGTGGACTGATTGTAACTATGTGTTGCTCACATAAGCTACACAATTTCGCACCTCACATGAAGGAGACAAGCTTTTTTTTGGGCTATACAGACCGGTCGTGCTTTTTTGCTGTTTGGGGTCGAGGCTGGTGTAATTTTGCGTGTTTGCTGTCCTGCGCATCCACAACAGCACAACACGCACACCCACGCGCTTCCACACCCGGTGCACCCAATGCCGGCACAAATAACAAGCACGCTTGTTGCACCCACGCTGGCACACATGATAACAAATACACTTACGCGTGTCCACAACAATTGCACCCATGCTGGCACAAGTGACAATAAACCCGATCGCGGGCATCCACAAACACTGCACCCATGCTGGCACAAAGGATAGTGAACACACTCACGCGCATTTACAACCACTGCACCCATGCTGAATATGAAAACACGCTGAGTCTCATGTCATGGGTGATAAGTTGCATGTTAAATATGAATGCACAGGGATATGCATTTACGTGCATACATACAATAGATATAACTTCGATAGGTGATGGTATATGGGTGACACTTGTTGCTGTTGGTGGGCCTGTTTGACAAAGAAGGACAAGTCAGAGACAGGACAGGTATGTGTAAAACGATGGGTGACATCGATTGCATGGATGGGTTTGCTTCTTTGACAAAGAAGGTCAGCAAGTCTCATACCAAGTTTGTGAAGATCTGCTTGGCGAGTTTTGGAGAGTTGCAAAATCCATTGGCCACTGGCAGTGGATTGAGGACATGCGCTTGAATCGCAGCAAAGCGCCCTGTGGCGGTGTGACCTCTTTGGTTAGTTTGCGCATGCTGAAACAAAGCGAACACTGCAACAGGGATCCGGATGCATTATACACCTGAACATTGCAACTTGTAAATGGTGGTGTCCATTTTTTGGTGGAAAAAGCAACATGGTTCAAATGGTTGCAAAATGTATAATTTAAGGAACCCTGTGCAAACAAGCAACATCGCAAAGAAAATGCACCGTGGACGCTACCAACCATATGCACACACACACACACAACCAGGACAACCCGAGAGCGGACACAACCGCGTCAGCCTATGCAAGCAACCATCGCACAGTGCTAACAGTACCAAAAGAGGCCAACAAATTCAGGGGGTTCTCTCCAATTCAAGCTGGAGTCAGAATTTTCTATGAATCAAATCAAATAGTCCCCAAAGCATCACCTGTTTTCAAAGGTCCTCTGAACCTCAGCTGGCAAATGCACCTTTCAACTGGCAAGCGGGCCTCGGAATTGGATTTCCGGCAACATCCCCAGCATCACCAGCCTCACTTGGGGGGTTGCCTAGTGGCTCTGATTGGGTTGCTGGGGCTGGTTTCAGCTAGGGGTGGTTTAGGCTGGCTTAGATCTTCATGAGGGTGGGTCTTGAGGTGGTTTGGGGTTGATTTAGGCGAAGCGAAGGGCTGACATCTAGGCTGCTGTGGAGCGTTGCCCCAAACCACCAAAACTAGCCCACAACTCACGCAACCACATTCCCAAAGCAACCCTAAAGGCACCGCTTAACCACCAGCACACCCAACACAATCAGCTCCAAGCCATCCCCAAATCCACCCAAAGTCAACCCTGAATCCGCTCGACAGCAGCCTGGATGTCAGCCCTTTGCTTCGCCTAGATCAACCCCAAGCCACCCCAAAACCCACCCCCATGAAGATCTAGCCAGTCTAACCCCCCGCGAGCTGAAACCAGCCCCCAGCAACTCCCAACTGAGGCTGGTGAGCCAACCAATCAACCAAGTAACGCAGCCCTAAAGAAAAAACAACCTACAGGGAAAAAACACAGGATCTGGAACCCTGCCAACCCCAACAAACCTGGCGCGCAATGCACTTAACAAAACCTATTGGGACTTGCTTGCTGACGCTTGAGCACTGGGTGCCTTGATGGTTCCAGCACCAAAGGGCGGACGGCCACTGCAAAGGGTGTAGAGTATAGCACCAACCTGGGCATTGTGTGACAACGTGTGACCCTGGACGCGAGGTCACCCCATATCCGTGATAGTGGGCCTTCTGTTGCGAGGCTCATAACATCACCAAAGGTAACGATTCCTGGGGTCACGTTCGCAAGTGGCATATCTCCAGCAGCGCACTAGTATCTTGCGAGCTGCGTGACAAGAAGTGCGGCTGTGTGCATTCGCGCACATGTCTGGAACATCAATAACGTTCTAATGGAGGTAATCAACCTGGCAAGTCTGGTGTGCCTATGAGTCAACCATGCTCTGGGCCAATTCCTAGTCCCCGAACTACTGGGGCGGGCAGGTCAGCTAAGTGCCCGACCGACCAAACGTCACTGGCATGCCTGGCCTGAGCCGGCCCGAGCCTAGCCAGCTGAATGCAACCGTGTCTAGCTGGACTTGAAGACACGGGGCTGGGCCCAAAGAGCTGTCTTACAACGGTGTGAGCTACTTCTTCAGGTTGAGATTCAAACCTATGTTGGAACTTGGTTGTCTTTCTAGGCTGGTACTGGCAGCTGCAATATAAGCTAATAAGACGGTAAACTACGTTCAATCTATGTGGCGTTTGCCTGTATGAACATCCTCAACGGTTGCAATGTGTATATGTAACGTAACATGCACATTATCTATGCATAGATTATACATCATATGCATACTTAGATCCTGCCGTCAAACTCATTCCCTGGCTGCCGGGCCTGGCTTCATGTGACAGAACGACGCTAGCTGATACAAACCTGCCCACGGCATGGCGTTTTCCCTGTTCGTCCTGTGTTTCCTATGTTTCCTGTGTTTCCTGTGTCACGAGAGCAAACCGGCGCTGGGCGGGGGACTGCTGGGCTCAGCCTTTTGACGTTGCTGGTATAGAAGACCTCCGGCGAGGCGTAGTAGTGCCTTGCACGCCGTGACGCGGCAATCAAAACGCGGCAAAGTTTGCTCAAAGAAATGTTGGCTGAAAACAGGGCTACTCTGGAGCAAAAACCGTGTGCAGGGCAAAAAAAACTCACTCTGACAGAACAGGGGGGAGTTGTCGAGCAGATTGATGGACCTCAACGGATGCGCTGGCCGACCTGGCTTCTCGCCTCTCTTCGTTTTTAGGTAAAACCGGGGGCTCCAAGCCATGAAATGCCGCTGGCACTTGATCTAAGCATATTTTCCCCACCAAAATGACGTCCCCCAAATATCGAGTAAACACTGGGGAGAGAAGTTTTAAGAAGCACCCGCCGCACTCTGAGCCCCAGCTTGTTGGACTTGGAAAACTCGCGCCGCGAGACCAGGGGCACGAGGTAGCCAGCCTCGCATCCACAATGCCGTTTCGATAAGCAGACCATGGCATGACTAAGATGGGTCTCCGGATCAACGGTGTTTTGGGGTAAGCAACGACACACTCCTCAATACGCACAAGGTGAGACCAATGAAGCAAAGACGGCAAACGGTCACGAGTAAATGCCAGTTTCTTGACAGGCCCAAATTGACATGCGCCTTGGACAAAAAAAAAAAAAAAAAAAGAAAAGAAAAACAAAAAAAAAAAAAAAAACAGAAAATAAAACAACAGAAAGACGGCAAACGGTCACGAGTAAATGCCAGTTTCTTGACAGGCCCAAATTGACATGCGCCTTGGACAAAGAGTGGGCAAATCCGCTGAATCACTGCTGATGTACGAGGCAAGATGAATCGTGACTAGTGCACTCTCAGATCTTTGAGCAGAAGGCCAGTCCAAGACCAAAAACCTGGCGGCAGGCTGCATTGACAAGCTGGCTCGCTTCCCTGTGGCTCACAGGCTTCTGTCTGGTGATCACCTGTGACGACTTTTAGAATTCAAATGTCACCATGTTGAACACACCTCTTATTGAAATTTGAAAGGGTTCCCAGCTCAATATGTTTCAACACGGTTGACCCTTGTTACCCGAGTTGCTTGATTGAACATGCGAGTCACTTTTTGGAACTTCGTTCCAACATTTCCCCCGTTAAATCGCAGTTCAGCTTCTTTGCCTTGAATCAGCTCCCCTCCAATTGGGTATGTCTTTCTTTTGTGGGACCCCCAAAATTGGTAGCTTTAAAGAGGAACCAAAAGGAACACCCGTCTTTTTGTGGGGTCCAATCGCCAATGTTCAAGCGATTAATTGGCCATGACTTGGCGGTCGACTCAGAATCAAGACTGCGCCACTCGCCGCTGGTCCCACGAAACAAACACATAGGCCCACCTTGACAGGGCAAAAGCTGCCAGTAGACATCAAGAAAATCGTCGACATACACAAGTCCTTGGCGTAGCAGGAAGCGTATACAGCAGGGCACACAGCCCTTGCATCCTGGCAACACGTGCGGCAAACTGGTTTACTTGCATGACTTGACATGCAGCCAGTTTACCACTGCTCCTTGGTATCCCGCTATGCCACATCTTTGCTGACACACTGCTTTGCTTCATGTCCATGATTGTCAGTCATCAGTTAGGTTGTCCTTGCAAAGATGTGGATCTTCCAAGCCTCTGTCGGGCATGCCCAGCTCTACTTAGCATGTCCAGGCAACCAAGAGCTGAACTCCTCAGCCCAACAATTGAAGGATGGCGCTGAGCATCACGGGAGAAAACACAGCGCATTACCCATCCGACTTCGCATTGCCAAATCAATGTCATTGGGCCAAGCATCAGAATGCATCAGAGTGGCGATCTAGCCTGAACAATGCGCATGATAACGCAACCCTTTGCCGAGGTCTCGGCCAAATGATGGACACCAAATGCATTTGCAGCAGCCAAGGCCGACAGAATCTCCCGCGTAAACTGCGCGAGGTGGGCTTGAAACGGGCGTCTAGCTGACTTCTGGCTTTCGACTCGAGACCAAAGCTCCAACCAAGAAGTCTGATTTGAGAGTAGATGGCTCAACAAATGGGGGGGGGGAGTGCCATCTACTATTGACAAACGGAGATTATCAATTATCGGAAAATTATCGGACATGTTCTGGCCAGAGTAGATGGCACAACTCTTTCCGGTTTTCTGAACACCCGGCTTGGGTGGCTGTGGCCAGGGACTTCTTTTTCTCGCACGAATACGCAATTAAGTGGTGGCAAACTTGCACGAGCTCAGGCCTTTTTTGCAATCCACAGCAACAAGCGTTCCACGCTTCCCAAAACGGCTGTGAGTGCAGGTTGCAGGAACGAAGCGCTCTTGATCAAACTGGGGCATGAAAACGGCGGCTCACTTGGGGCAATAGCAGCCCCCAAGTGAGCTGTCGTGTTCATGCCCCAGTTTGATCAAACACGTTTCGTTTCTGCAACCTGTACTCACAACCGTTGTTGGAAGCCCGGAACGCATCTTGCTGTGACAAGGCCTTGCAACAAGGTCGGGAACCGAGCTCGACTTTCCAAACCCAGGGTTGAAATTGAACACGTCAGTTTCTGCGCACCCGTAGCGCCATATGAAGAAACTCGGTTCATTTGTTGAGACCCCGCAAATGGGGGGGCATGAGTGTGCCGCGTTTGGTGCAAACAGTCCCAGTCTCCGATCTCATCACCGAGATGGGTGATAGGAGGCAGCAGCAAACATGTCAAGACTCACGACTCCTCGGGACTTTTTTTCTTCCAACTGAGTCCGCCAAGTCCCAACCACTTTCTAACTTCGACAGTTTCTCCAAACTCGGGCTGTTGCGATTGGAGAATCTCCGAACTATGGCCCGTTGTCTCCAAACTCAGTGAGGGCAGTTTGGAGATACTCCAAACTCAGGCTCGTAATCTCCAAACTCTAGCCTCTAGCCAATTTCTCCCAACTCAACCTGAGTTTAGGGAAACTCAGGCTCGAGTTTGAAGATTTCCAAATCCGGGTCCGAGTTGCCAAACCCAGGCCCGTTTTCCCCCAACTCAGGCCCATTGGGGCCTGCGTTCACTCTTTAAAGTCAGGCTCCTTTTCTCCAAAGTCAGCCTTTTTTCTCCAACTCAGCCCGTTTTCTCCAAACCGTGGATGACTTTGCAGATTCTCTAAACTGAGGCATGTGTTCTCCAAAAACTCAGGCCCGAGTTTCGAGAATCTCCAAGCGCACCGCCCAAGGTTGGAATAACAGACCTGAGGTTGGAGATTCTCCAAACTCGAACTGAGTATCGAATTTTGGCAAACTCGGGCCCGAGTTTGGAGATCCTCCAAACTCAGGCCCGTTTTCTCCAAACTCGGGATGAGTTTGGAAATTCCCCAATCTCGGACAGATTTTCTCCAAACTTAGGCCTGCGTTCGGAGATTCTCCAAACTCAGTTCGGAGATTCTCCAAACTCAGTTCGGAGATTCTCCAAATTCAGTTTGGAGATGCTCCAAACGCCGGCCCATTTCCTCCAAACTCGGGTGCGCTTGGAGATTCTGAGATTCTCCAAGCTTGGGCCCGAGTTTGGAGAAAACGGGCCTGAGTTTGGAGATTCTCCAAACTCGGGCCCGTTTTCTCCAACCTCAGGCTGAGTTTGGAGATTCTCCAAACTCCAAATTTCAATGTGTTTTTCTCCTGCAGAGCGCTTATTTTGCCTGAAAATCTCCATCCGAACGCTTATTTTCTCCACCAAAACACTTGCCGAACGCTTCTTCGCGTGTTTCACAAAATGAGTTTGGAGAAAACGGGCCTGAGTTTGGAGATTCTCCGAACTCGGGCCCATTTTCCTCCAAACTCGGGGTGAGTTTGGAGATTCTCTAAACTCGGGCCCGTTTTCGCCAAACTCGGGGTGAGTTTGGAGATTCTCCAAACTTAGGCCCGTTGTCTCCGAGCTCTGAGTCCAAACTCTGAGTTTGGAGATTCTCCGAACTCGGGCCCGTTTTCTCCAAACTCGGGGTGAGTTTGGAGATTCTCCGAACTCGGGCCCGTTTTCTCCAAAATCGGGGTGAGTTTGGAGATTCTCCGAACTTGGGCCTGTTTTCTCAAAACTCGGGCTGAGTTTGCGGATTCTTCAAAGTCAGGCTTGTTTTCTGCAAACTCAGGTTCAGTTTAGAAGTTCTCCAACCTCGGGCCCTGTTCCTCCATTTTCCAAACTCGGAGACCTTCTTGGCTTCGTACAAAGAGTTTGGACTAACCAGGACTGACAAGTCTTTTTTAAAACTCAGGCCCATTTTCTGCAAACTGGGGCCTGCGTTTGGAGATTCTCCAAACTCAGTTCGTTTCTCCAAACTCGGCCCGGGCTTGAGATGATTCTCCAAAGTCAGTCAGGGCTGTTTTCTCCAAAGTTGGCTTGAGTTTGGATAATCTTCACGCTCAGGCCCGTGTTTTGCAAACTCGCCTGGCTTTGCGTGCGAAGACGCGTTTCGCAAATGTATTGGTGGCGACTATCCGCTTTTCGATGGAAATTGGATGGGTCAAACAAGGGGTTTGTTTGGTCAATATAGACAAGACTAAGTTCGGCAAATCTCGAAACTCAGGCTGAGCAAAGGCCAACTTTAGGGACCCCCAAATTGATTTCTCAGGGCTGAGTTAGGAGAAAGCGAGCTTAAGTTTGGAGAGCTTGGAACATCTCCAAGCTCAGGCTAAGACGTGGAGAAAAGCAAGCCTAAAATTGGGGCACATTCCAAACTCATCCATATTTTTGGAAACCTGAAGGCGAACTTACAAGCGAGCATTATCCTCAGAAATCTGCAACTCCCCAAGGAAAAGGGCTGCGCCATCGTGATGTAGTCACTTGCATTGCCCTATTCCACAACACTGC